TATGTTGTTATGAAAAAGTTCCCCAATTTACTGAAAAGCTCCTAGATTTATAGAGCTGCCTTGCCAGGATCAGACCAAATGATTTTGCAAGCCTGTGGGCTGGACACCCCCCATACTTGCATTAAGGGAAAAAAAAAAAAAAAAAAAAAAAACTATGAAAACCCAAGCAGGAAACAAACAGAAGTTTTGTTAGAGGGGAGAAGAGTTTTTCCCTACATTATAGAAAACTGAGAGGAGGAAAGGGCTCTTAAACAGAGCACATGGGGCAAAAAAATATTTAAGAAGTTTAGAATAGGTCGGCTGAGCAAATAAAATCGAACAAAAGGAACTGTAAAATAATTTTTGCTTTTTTTGCATGTCAGGAAGAGGAGGAGGAAGAAGCAGTGTTTAAACAGAGATGAAGCATGTTTTACAAACAAGAAGAGACTTCATCTGATACCATGAGTTCCACTGTCCATAATCTGAGAACCTCCTCATTTGGCATCAACTTCTTCATATGGATAAATGAGTAAAAATATAAACACATTATTTACAATTTCTATATAAGTAACATTTATGTCTGTGGTAATTAAAAAAAGTAGCTATTAACCAGAAATGGGCAGAAGACATCTTTTGGGGGTGATAGAAATGTTCTAAACCTAAACAATGCACGATGCAGTAAATTCAGTACCATACTCAAACTGTTAAAAATAGCTGATATTAATGGTATATAAAGTATACCTCAATAACGTTGTCTTTAAATATATCTTGGGGGCCGTCGCTGTGGTGCAGTGTGCTAAAGCCCTGGCCCTAAAGCACCGGCATCCCATATGGGTGCCAGTTCTAGTACCAGCTGTTCCTCTTCCGATCCAGCTCTATGCTGTGCCCTGGGAAAGCAGTAGAAAATGGCCCAAGTCCTTGGACCCCTGCACCCATGTGGGAGACCCGGAAGAAGCTCCTGGCTCCTGGCTTCAGATCAGCACAGCTCCAGCCATTGCTGCCATCTAGGGAATGAACCAGCGGATTAAAAACTCTCTGTCTCTACCTCTCTCTGTAACTCTTTCAAATAAATAAAATAAATCTTAGAAATATGTGTGTGTATATATATATATATATGTATTGTTGTTGCAGCCAAATGGGAAAACAAACTCAGAAGCTTCTGTACAGCAAAGAAAATAATCAATATAGTGAACAGATATCCAACAGAATGGGAGACAAAGAATTAACACCCAGAATATATAAAGAATGCAAAAATTCTACAATTAAAAAAAAAACAGTCAAGAAATGGGCAAAGGATCTAAACAGATCATTCTCAAAAGAAGAAACAAAAATGGTCAACAAAAATATGAAAGAGTGCTCAATCCCACTAGCCACTAGGAAACTGCAAATCAAAACCACAACTAGATATCGCCTCACCCCTGTGGCAAGAATGGCTATTTTCAAAAAGGCAGAAACTAACAAATTCTAAGGATATGAAGAAAAGGGAGCTTTTATATAGTGATTATGGGGATGTAAATTAGTGCAGCAACTATGGAAAACAGCATGGAGATTTCTTTAAAAGCTAATAATACATTTGCCACATGATCCAACAATCCCACTACTGTGTATATATCCAAAAAATGTAAAATCATTGTATCAAAGGGATACCTGCTCCACCATGTTTACTGCAGCACTGTTCACAAAAGCCAAGGTGTCCATCAGCAGCAGCTACTTAAAAAAGTATGAGATCCTGTCACTTGCAGTGAAATGGATAGAACTGGAGGATATAATGTTAAATGAAATAATCCAAATACAAAAAGACAAATTTCACATGTTTTCTCTTATATGTGGTGCTAAAAAAAAAAATCAATCTAACATTGATATTGATTACCAGAGGCTGAGATGAATGAAAGGAACAAAGAAAGTTTAAATAAAAATGCAAAAATATAGGAGAAAATAGGTGTGCTTCATTGATTGTGATCCTAAAATAATGCTAATATGTTTAAAATGGAGAAAGCCAGTTGTGGGGTATATGGAAATTCTTTATATTAATTTTTTATTTATAAATTTAATATATATATGTGTGTGTATATAAATATATATATGTGACAGGCAGAGTCACAGTGAAAGAGAGACAGAGTTCACTCTCCAAATGGCCACAACTGCCAGGACTGGGTCAGGCCAAAGTCAGAAGCCAAGAACTCCATCCTGTTCTCCAAATGTGTAGCAGGAGCGCAAGGACTCAGGGCATCTTCTGCTGGCTCCCAGGCACATTAACAGGAAGCTGGATCTTCAGAAGCACAGTAGCTGGGACTCAAACCAATACTTTGATATGGGACGTTGATGTCAAAAGCTGTAGCTTAATCGGCTGTGCCACACTACCAACCCCGGTTTCACTCTTCTTTATGGCAGCTCTCCCAAAAGAAAAAATGCCCAAGTACTTAACCAGAATATTATCAGCTTATTATAGTCCAATTTGCTTGAAATCCTTTTAAAATTATGAATTCCGAGACTAAACACAACAATCTCAATGCATTTGATTTGTGCAGTATTAACGGACTAATTGTTTAACTCTACTATTATATTTTGCTCTGGTAAAATATTATGGAAAATACTTCATAAATACTCTGCGATAAATGCTCTGTCAATAATATTCTGCTAGAAGAAAATTATTTAAACCATCATGTCATACTGCTTGACTATATACTAAATATAAAATTTAAAAAAAAAAAACTAGAAATTTTTGCCCATCCTAATTAACTGCCAAGGAAATTTTTCTCATTCAGATAGTATACACTATTTTGTTTTACTTTTTTTACTTAAAAATTAGTAATAATGAATATTTACTAAATGGAAGAGAGAATAAAAGCTGTAGCTGATAGAGTGAAATATTTACCTCTTGTACATTTAATGTGAATAATGTGGTCATTCTGGAAAAAATATCCATTTCTATAGCCATACATCCCACATCCAAGAAATGCTCTATTGTCTAAATATGATCAGAGTCGGAGAACTCAAAAGGCTTCCATAGCCTTGGAAACTCATGACTGGAGCATAGGGAGATTACTGACGCCATAAACAGGAGTGTCAATTTGTAAAGTCAACAACAGGAGTCACTGTGCACTTACTCCTCATGTAGGATCTCTGTCCTTAATGTGCTGTACATTGAGATTTAATGCTATAATGAGTACTCAAACAGTATTTTTCACTTTGTGTTTCTATGGGGGTGCAAACTGTTGAAATCTTTACTTAATGTGTACTAAACTGATCTTCTGTATATATAGAAAATTGAAAATGAATCTTGATGTGAATGGAAAGGGAGAGAGAGCGGGAAAGGGGAGGGTTGCGGGTGGGAGGGAAGTCATGGGGGGGGGAGTCAATGTAGTCCATAAGCTGTACTTTGGAAATCTATATTCATTAAATAAAAGTTAAAAAAAAAAAGAATTAAAAAAAAAGAGAAATGCTCTATTTAATAGTCCATAAGCTAAAATCTATTACATCACTTCTTTTTATCACCTTTATTGTTCTTACTACTTTTTTTTTAATTTGGTTACTTTTTTTTTTAATTTATTTGACAGTTTGACAGTGAGAGAGATAGAGAGAAAGGTCTTCCTTCCATTGGTTCACCCCCCCAAATGGCCACTCTGGCCAGCGCCAATCTGAAGCAAGGAGCCAGGTGCTTCCTCCTGGTCTCCCATGCGGGTGCAGAGCCCAAGCACTTGGGCCATCCTCCACTGCACTCCCAGGCCATAGCAGAGAGCTGGACTGGAAGAGGAGCAACCGGGACTAGAACCCGGCTGGGATACTGGCACTGCAGTCGCAGAATTAACCAAGAGAGCCACAGCGCTGGCCCCCTTAATTTGTTTACTTTTTATGACATACATCACCTTTGTAGATTGCACAGTCCCTGAACATATAGGCCTTAACTACCTTCATTCCCTTAGAACATCACTTCTTAGTTTCATAGTTTAAAATTAATTCTAAAATTCTGACAACTTCCACAACATTATCTCCAGCCCATACTGCTCTACTGAATTCCAGGCTCATGTGTATAATGCATACACACAGACACACAAATTTATATTACATATGCACTGAAAAAAATACACTTATTTCACATGTCCAAAATCAAATTCTGTACTCCTTAAAACTCACCAATCTCTCACACGCACAGCCTTTTGTCTCTCCTCAAATTCTGGACTCTCCCTACCATCTCACCGATCATTCCCAGACATAACCTTCCACCTTAGGCACTTTTGACTGATCTCTTGCTCTCACTGTCCACACACCCTTTCCATAAGCAAATTTTATTAGTTTGCTTTTAAAGTTTATTCAGAATATAACCAAATTCTCACCATACCACTGTTACTACCTTGGCAAAGACTTCACTAGTTTTCACCTGTATTATTGCAGTAGCCTCCCAACAAGTCTTGCTGTGTCTGTCCTGGTCTCAGCACCCACTATACTGTACTGTCACATTTTGGACTGATCTCTTCCAATATAAGACAAATCACATCAAAACCCTGCCACACTTTGTTGACTCAAGATTAAAAAACAATCCTTTCTATGATCCTCTTTTATTTCTTCTGCTCACTCTCATATCACTTCTGTATTTTCTAAATATCAATAAGAATGCATTGCTTTATTAACAAAGTTTTAAATGATAAAACTATGAGTGAGTAATCTGCCTTTTTCCCAAATGTTTTCACTCTAAGTATGGAATTAAATACCAGTATTGAGTTTAGAAGGAAAGTAAGTTTATGACCAACAGTTTGTAGGGCCTTGAGTGCCTAGATACTGATGAATGTTTAATGAAAATAAGCTTCTCAAATAAACCGAACAGTAATGTGTGGTAGAACAAGTTCCGGGTTTCTTAACTGTGATACTTTGCGTAAGTCACTCTTCTCGCTGGTTCACAGCCGCTTTATGTGTACTGAACAATTAACCTGTCAACCTCATAAACTTGGTACTAACAGAAGTACCTACACGTAACTACCAAAAACACAGCCACAAGGCTTATTCCCAAGAACGTTTCAGACTGATGTGCCGATGAGAAAGGTTGCCAGAGAAGCAAGCAAAATACCACAAAGTTCGGGGCTTCACTGCAGGCTGGATGTTAGCCAACTTTCACAGACAAGCAGGAGCGTGGCTTAGGTGACGTGGCCCACTTCTGGGAGCTGCAAGGACAGAGATGCCACAAACCTAAGGTTCCTGAACAGAGAACTTAAATCTTCAGATTGCGTATTTCGACTAGGGGCTGGGGAGATGGTTCCAGACGACCTGGAGGGGGTCAGGGGTGAGAAATCATCAGTCAAAACGTCCTTGGAAACTGCTCTTGGCTGAAACAAACCTCCAGGAAGGACGAATCGCCTTTCCCCACAAAGTTTGGAGACAGGTTGTAATTTCTTTCTCCTAAACGGGCCGGCTCAAACAATTCTGTTACCCAACCTGAACCACTCACCGGGTCAACCGGCAGGAAAGCTTTTTGAGCTGGGAAAAAGTGGCCCAGACCCAGCACAGTCCGACAAAGCTCTAGGTGGCCATCTGCTCCAGTGACTGTTGCTAGGGAAACGGAGCGAGGAGTCCGGCTCACCCCATCATGGCTGTTTCAGTTCAGAGCCCCGCGCTGCGGGGGCGTGGTTTCGTGCGTGACGCACGGAAGGGCGGGGCAGAAGCGAGCCGACCCGGGACACGTCACCTCCCAGTGCGCATGCGTATTGTGCTGCGCTGTCTCGGCGCAGGTTGGGATATGGAAGCCGCTAGGGTCTTTTCTGACGCGTCTCTGAGGGAAGCTACTGAGCGAAAATTACGGAGGTTTTCAAAGCTGAGAGGTACAGAGGTGGCACCCAAGTCTTCCCGGGCAGCGGAGGTGTTTTGAGGTTTTCTGAACTGTCACTTCCTGTCTGCTCACCTGCAACCCTGCGACTGTGGCCCAGGAACGGCGACTGTTCGCTTCGAGTTTCTTGTTTTATTACGGTCCCTCCTTTGCGTTATGCATTTTGCTTTTCTTAAGTTTACTCCTAGAAGTGTAGGAATCAAAATAAAATAACGGAGGAGAGAGAAGAAAAATTTTAACCTGATTAGTGGAGTTATAAATCCGAAGTTATGCTTTGATTAGTTCATCAATTAAAGTTATTTAAAGCTCGAAGATCTGAAGCATATGACACAAGCAAATCTGAGTTTACTTTTTTTTTTGGCAATTTGTTCTGTAATGTAAATGCTTACTGAGAAAGGAAACAAAACGACATGAAAGAATTACGGATTAAAAATTAAAGGGGTTGGAGAATTTGGAATAAAACACAAAACAGACTATGCTACTTGTCACTCCCAATATAGCTATCTAATGATATTGGTTATGAGTTTGATAACTGCTTGGAAAATACAGGGACTAGTGCTTGGGTAACAGTAAAATTTTCAAGACTATACATTCTAGTTGATAAATTGTTTGCTAATTAAAACCTTTATTCATGCTGGCTTATGGATAAAGAAGAGGTTCCAACTGTGTACCAAAAATGCAAGTCTCTCTTTTAATGAGCTCATCAGGCAGTTGGAGTCTTTTCTGTTACCAGAATTTTGTGTCATAGTCTAATAGCCTATGTGAGCTTGTGTGGCTTATCTGGAGGTAATAAAAATAAAGTGTCAACATTTATGAACAGAAACATTGAAAGAATGGAACTTTTAGTTGAATCTCTCCTAGCCAGCAAACACTAAATGGCCCTGATAAATAAAAATTGACTTTCAAATGTGGAGATTCACTTATTTGTTTCCTTGTATTTTCTTCTTATTAAAGAATTGAGGTAAAATAGCCTTTGTCAAATTAAAAGAAATTTTTTAATCAAGAAGGGTTGCAATTTCAGAAATTTTAAGTAAACTAGATTATAGACCACAAAAGGAGGGAGTCATAAAAATGAGGGGAAAAAATCCTTGCGAGCATCCCTCATTAGATCTGTTTGGAATCATACTTGCCACTAATTATTCCCTAAATCCCAAAGCAGGATATACATTTTGAAGATGACAGTAAATGTTACCTTTTTTCCTTCTTTCCAAAAAGCAAACCTGTAACAGCTGGAGAATTCTAATAATACTTGCAATCATTTCTTTTTTCAAAATAGGCAAACCTGTGGCAGCTGGAGAATTTTGGGACATAGTTGCAATAACAGCAGCTGATGAAAAACAGGAACTTGCTTATAAGCAACAGCTGTCAGAAAAGATGAAAAGAAAGGAATTACCCCTTGGTGCTCAGTACCATGTTTTTGTTGATCCTGCTGGAGCGAAAATTGGTAGGCATTTTGTGGACAGTTTTATAACATAGGTTCTGAGTAGAAAAATTGTTCAAAACCTCTTCTGTTTTTTTTTCTTTTAGTTTGTTTACTTTTTTATTTACATAATGAGAAAGATTTCATGTATTTCACATATACAATTTTAGGCACATATGATACTGCCCACCCACTTAACCTCCCTCTTCTTTCCTTCTTTTTTTTTTTCATTTAATTTTTGTGGTAACATACTTTAAATTTACTCAAATTTACTCATAACCACAGGCTTAATTTCCTCTAAAGAAAAAATTCAGCCAGTGGAAAGTAGAAACAGCACTATTCTGCAGGAGTACAGACAAGGGCTGTAAACAATAACCAAATCTCAAGATGTTAATTTCACTCACATACATAACATTGTTTTTTGTACTCTGTGTATTAGCTGTCACCATTTTGGCACAGTGAGTTAAGTCACTCTGGCGGCAGCATCCAGGATGAGTGCTGGTTTGAGTCCTGGCTGCTCCACTTCTGATCCAGCTTTGTGCTAAGGCACAGTGGGTTAAGATTCTGTTGCTTATAGTTGATAAGCTAGCTGTCTCCAACCAGGGCCTTCACAAACTTTAAAACCAATGTAAATTGACTCTTTTTAAGAAAGATAAAAGGCTGTTCTTATCTGTTATGAGTTATTGTGTAAAGCTTCCAGAATGTTATTTGAAAGATTGTTACTAATATTAATAAAACTTTTTCAGATGGTGAATTTTCCTCTGCACCTATCCGTAGGACCCTTACCCCCACCCTCTGTGTATCAGTTTCTTCAGCAGTTTACATGAAGAAACCAAATCAGAAAAAAATACATACTTGACCTCTGGTAACCACAATGTAGAAAGCAAAAAAAAAAAAAAAGTCTCTTGATTTAAGTATCACAGAATATTTATTTCAAAACCCTCATTTAGGTCAGGGTCAGGATATTTATTTCAAAACCCTCATTTAGGTCATTACTGGATATCTGTATATGATAATTAGAGTTGTCCTAATTAGCCAGTTCTATTTTAGTTCTCACCACTCTGGGATCAGAACTTTCATTATTCCCATTGTGTAGATGAAAATCTGAGTGTAGAAGAATTAAGTAACATCCAACATAACTATCATGGAAATTACATTTAGATATTTTTAGGAAACCAGGGTCTAAAAATATTATTAGATGGGAAACCTAACATATGTGAGTGTTACTTAACATATTTAAGTGTTACTTAAATGTTTTTATGATTTATACTCATGACAATTTGCACTTAACATTTTATTATGGCTTAACATTATTATGCACTTAACATTATTATGACTTATATAACATTTAAAAAATTATTTTTGGGGAGACATGGCTGCTCTCTGAGTTTAACTGTTTTAATTTTGTGTTGATTGGGGTATGTGTGTGAGAGAGAGAGCTTGAGCTTGCTGTTCACTCCATCAGATGCCTGCAGTGGACTAGGTCTGGGGGCTGAAACACAGAGCCAGGAACTCAATCCAGGATTCACATGGGTGGCGGGAACCCAACTACCTTCCAGTGTCCACATTAGCAAGATCTAGAGCCAGATAGGGAACCCAGGCACTCTAGAGTGAGACACCGAACCACTTGGCCAAACTCCTGCCCCTCATTGTCTATTTGTTTATTTGCTGAGATGGCCTTTCTTTTGCGAAAATCTTTACTGTCTGTCTACATAATAAATTATTGCCCAAGTAATATCCTTAAGGTAATATAGATAAGTTTACCATACTTCAAAGTTTTATTATACTTCTATGGAATAAATTATACTTTTTAACTTTAAGGAAATGGAGGATCGACACTTTGTGCTCTTCGATGTTTGGAAAAGCTGTATGGAGATAAATGGAACTCATTTACCATCCTATTAATTCACTCTGGTAAAGTTATTCTTTATTAATTTGTATATTTTTGTGTGGTATTCTACCTTTAGGAATTTTTTTTTCTCCCCTGAAAATGCTTATCTCTTCTTTAAAAACAAAACTAAAGTTTTTTTGCTTTAAAAACAAATATCTCATTCTTTGGGATTTTAGGTTATTAACAGCATACTGATTTTCATAAAATATATCCTTAAAATTATAGATCATATACATCCACAACATTTCCTGGGTATTATTTTATGGTATGCATTTAGAAATTTACTTTCCTAAGGTAGAACTCATCAAAATGTGAACTTTTCCTAGGAAATCTTTACAGGGAATTCTTGCTTTGTATGAGTCTGATTTAGTACTGTTAGTACTAGATGTTTGCCAAAACAATCTGCCTTGAATTTTATGTGAATATTGGTAGTCAAAGACAACAATCAATAAATTTTTTTTATAATTTATTTTATTTACTTGAAAGGCAGAGTTACAGAGAAGAAGAGGCAAAGAGAGAGAGAGAGAGGTCTTCCATCTGCTGGTTCATTCCCTGAATGGCTGCAATGTCTGGGGCATGGCCAGACTGAAGCCAAGAACCAGGAGCTGGGATGCAGGGGTCTAAGCACTTGGGCTGTCCTCTACTGTTTTCCCAGGAGTGTTAGCAGGGAGCTGGATTGGAAGTTGAGCAGCCGGGACTCCAAGAGGAGCCCATATGGGTTACCAGCATTGTAGGTGGTGGCTTAATCCATTAAGTCTTAATGCAGACTCTTCCTTAAAAACAAAAGGAAAACAAAGAGAAGACATGGAGTAGACAAACAAGCATGTAGAGGGAAAAAAATGCACACAGAGAGGATATTTTTTAAAGCAGAAAATATGAAGAAAATCTGAGAATAAAGAACAGTTTATTTTAATTAAATACATTTATCTGTGTAAAAATTTTGGTTATGTGAGAACCTGTTTGTTTTTCTGTTTGTGCTGGTAGGCTAAAGAAAATTGTCTTGGATTGGCATCATTCCAGTGACATATATTTTAGAATCACTCATCTACAAGTCTTCTAAAATTCTGTCCAAATCATGGTTCATACACAGAACAATGATCGTTTTTAAAGGTTATGTCAAAGTAAAGTATTTGAATTCTGTCTTTAAGATTTAATAGAAATTTTAAAAATTCATTTTTAAGACGTTTTTCCATAAAAGATGTTATTATGAATTTAGTAATAATTAGGTTAGATGCCAGAAAACACATAATTAGATCATTTTTTTTTTTTTTTTTTTTTTTTTTTGCCAGGCAGAGTGGACAGTGAGAGAGAGAGACAGAGAAAGAAAGGTCTTCCTTTTGCCATTGGTTCACCCTCCAATGGCTGCCATGGCCGGCATGCTGTGGCCAGCACACCGCGCTGATCCGATGACAGGAGCCAAGTACTTATCCTGGTCTCCCAAGGGGTGCAGGACCCAAGCACTTGAGCCATCCTCCACTGCACTCCCTGGCCACAGCAGAGAGCTGGCCTGGAAGAGGGGCAACCGGGACAGAATCTGGCGCCCTGACCGGGACTAGAACCCGGTGTGCTGGTGCCGCAAGGTGGAGGATTAGCCTAGTGAGCCATGGCGCCGGCCAATTAGATCATTCTTATGCTAAATTTTACTATTGACTGGTCTTCAGAAAAGGGAAAATAAGAAGTTATTAGCTCTCATTTACTGAAGAACGTACTATGTGCTGAGTGTTTTGTATGTATTATTGATCTCATAAAACATGATGAAGCAAGTGCCATTCCACGTTTGCTGCCTTAGAATATACCCAAAGATAAGTAACTGAAAAATGATGAGCCAAGTTTGAAATCATTTTTATTTGACCCATTTTGCTATGTAACAGTAAGGCTTCCTCTTCCTATAATTAGTTATAAAAGTAATGCAAAATATTTAATTTACCCCAAATGGCATGCTTTTCAAGAAATTAAAAAATATATAATGCTTGTTTTAGAAGGAAGGTTGTATTTACATAAAAACAGGTATAAATTTTAAAGTAGTTTCAAATAAATTTACCTTAATTCTTTTCAGTTGATGTAATAACTTGAGTAAAGATACTGTATTTGGAAATTAGTGTTTAATAGACAATTATAATTTGGAATTGGTACTCTTTTTTGTTAATTTTTTTCCCTTTGGAGTACATTTTTTTTTTAAGATTTATTTATTTATTTGAAAGCCAGAGTTACACAGAGAGAGGAGAGACTGAGAGAGAAAGAGAGAGAGGTCTTCCATCCGCTGGTTCATTCCCCAATTGGCTGCAACGGCTGGAGCTGTGCCGATCTGAAGCCAGGAGCCAGGAGTTTCCCCCAGGTCTCCCACATGGGTGCAGGGGCCCAAGAACTTGGGACATCTTCTACTGCTAACCCAGGCCATAGCAGAGAGCTGGATCGAAGAGGAGCAGCTGGGACTAGAACCAGCGCCCATTATGGGATGCCAGCGCTTCAGGCCAGGGCATTAACCCACTGCACCACAGCCTTGGCCCCCTGAAGTACATTCTTGATGTAGGAGTTTAAACATCATTGAAATTCATTATTTAAAATTTAGAGAAAAGATTCTGTGTTAGCTCATGATCCTTTTTACTTGTATATTTTATTCAAAACAATTTGAAGGCTCTATATTAGAATTTTATCCTAACCCAAAATCTAAAGCTGGGTAAATTCAAATGGTAAATTCAAACAGGATAATTACTCTTTGAATTTTTAATCTGTATTTTATTATTCTTTCCTGAGTTGTAATTCATTTTATATATTAAATATCTAGAGATATTTTGGATTGTTAATCTAGAATACGAAAAATAGAATGAAATAGACATCTTGTGATATAGTTGTTGTTTTTAGCCCTTGTTTATACTCCTGTGTAACTGTGGTCTTTCTCCTTTTTACCTGTTGAATAATGATTAGTAATGTATTAAACCTGGATTATACAGTGGATTGAAATTATTTTTTCAAACTATTTAAAAAGGGAGGGAGAAAAGTATGGTTATTTTCTTAGACTTATACCTATGAAAATACATGAAATCTATTCTCTTTATATTAATAAAAATTAAAAAATTATTTTAAATAATAACATACTCTTAAATGAATATTTTGTTTAATCTTATAGGTGGCTACAGTCAACGCCTTCCCAGTGCTAGTGCTTTGGGGAAAATTTTCACTGCTTTACCTCTTGGTGACCCCATTTATCAGATGTTGGAATTAAAACTAGCCATGTACATTGATTTCCCCTCACACATGAATCCTGGAATTCTGGTTACATGTGCAGATGATATTGAACTTTACGGTATTGGAGAATTTGAGTTTATTAAGTTTGACAAACCAGGCTTTACTGCTTTAGCTCATCCTTCTAGTTTATCTGTAGGTACAACACATGGAGTATTTGTCTTAGAACCTTTTAATCATTTAAAATACAGAGACGTTGAATACACGTGCTGCCATCGTTTCCTTCATAAGCCCAGCATAGAAGAGATGCATCAGTATAATGCTGTGTATAAACCTGGAAGCTTTAGTTCAGTGTACTTTGCTGGGGGTGATACTGCCTATCTTAAATTAGATTCGGAATATGTTTACACAGATAGCCTATTTTATATGGATCATCAATCAGCTAAAAAGTTGCTTGCTTTTTATGAAGAAATAGGCACACTGAACTGTGAAATAGATGCATATGGTGACTTTCTGCAGGCTTTGGGACCTGGAGCAACTGTGGAGTACACCAGAAACACATCCAATGTCACTAAGGAAGAGTCAGAGTTGGTAGATATGAGGCAGAGAATATTTCATTTTCTTAAAGGAACACCACTGAATGTTGTTGTTCTTAATAACTCCAAATTTTATCACCTTGGAACAACTGAAGAATATTTGTTTCATTTTACTTCAGATAACAATATAAAGTCAGAGCTTGGCTTACAACCAGTGGCTTTTAGCATCTTTCCAAATATAACAGAGTGCTCTGGTAAAACATCCTGTATCATTCAGAGTATAGTGGATTCAAGGTGTTCCGTGGCACCTGGCTCAGTTGTGGAGTATTCCAGATTGGGTCCTGATGTCTCAGTTGGAGAGAACTGCATTATTAGTGGTTCTCATATCATGACAAAAGCTGTCTTATCTCCATGTTCTTTTGTGTGCTCCATAAGCTTGAAGATAAATGGACACTTAAAGTATTCAACTATGGCATTTGGAGTGCAAGATAACTTGAAAAAGAATGTAAAGATATTGTCAGATATAAAGTCACTTCAATTCTTTGGGATCTGTTTCCTGTCATGCTTAGATATTTGGAATCTTAAAGTTAAAGAAGAACTGTTCTCTGGGAACAAGACACAACTGAGTTTGTGGAATGCTCGCATTTTCCCAGTTTGTTCTTCTTTGAGTGATTCAGTTACCACATCCCTAGAAATGTTAAGTGCGATAAAGAATAAGTCAACATTCAACTTAAATAGCTATGAGCTGTTGTCCATTGAAGAAATGCTTGCCTACAAGGATGTAGAAGACATGATAACTTACAGGGAGCAGATTTTTCTAGAAATTAGTTTAAATAAAAAGTCTGATTTGTAGATATCTTAAGTGTTATATACTTTCCCCTTTGAGCAAGATTATGAATCTATGCATTTTCTGTAACATTCTTTGGTTTCAGGAAGTCATTTAAAATTGTATTACAACATGATTGTAGCATAACAGTAATACAAAATACAGAGAAATCATTTTTGATGAAAAAATATTTCAAGAATAATTTTAGAAAAGAGATGTTGGCTGTTTATCACTATTTAAATTTTCCTTTTAATAAGCATGGTTTTGCAGCTTGTTGTTCTGTCTATGTAATAAATATTTTAATAACTTCAGAAGTGTGTTCCTAAACATAACTTTAGAATTTCTCCATCTTCTTTTGGGCTTTGGTTCCAGTAAAATTCTAAGAGTTTATTGACAATTCTTTCTTCAAATGTAGACCAGTTTTGATAGACCAATAAAAATGACATGGAGTTTTCAGATTACTATTAGAAAACTGTAGACATCCTTTTTTAAAGATTATTTTTAAATTTACTTTTGAGAGAGAGGAGGAGAGAAGAGCTTTCCATCCACGGCTTCATTCCCCAAATGCCTGTGATAACCAGGTATTCGACCTGGAGCCAGGAATTCAATCCTGGTCTTGCACATAATTGGTAGGAACTCAGTTACTTGAGCTATCACTGCCACGTACCAGAGTCTGTGTTAGCAAGAAGCTGGAGTCCAGAATTGGAACTGGGTAGCAAACCCTACTCCAGTGTGGAATCCAGGCATCTTCATTGATGTCTTTGCCACTAGGCTGTGACCAGCCTCTAGAAATGCTTTTTCAAACGCTAATCCAAAGCTGACAAATTCAAATCAAATCATTGCTTATATCATACACAAAGTTGTCTTTTTTTTAGTCAGTAGGTAGCTAGGTACACAGAGCACTAATATCCATGCTAAAAATTATCTCACTTGTTGATTTTGTCAAAATGAAACAAAAGCATGTGCTTTGTATCCTATACACTTGAACAGTGTGTTTGTCTATCATAATTGTTCCCCAAAGTTTCATTTCACAGAAAACCCCACATATGACTTAGATATCTGTAGAGAAAGTGAATAATTGAGATTCTGTGGACATTGCATTCAGTCTCTCCCATTAACTCCTTTAACAGAACTGTTAAATTGCCAGATGGATTGATTCTGCTTTCCATTTCTTCCTTTCCTTCTATACACTGTTGATGAAGCTGAGAGGCAGTAATTGGCCAAAAGGTAAACAGCAGGAGGAAGACAAAAGAATAGAAAAACCCACAATACACAGATGAGAAAACCTCAAGAAAATTGGAATTGGCTGGAATCCCAACTTATGTATTCCTATTTTAATAAAAGCACAGAAAAGAAATGTCTTCATATCACAGTATAATAATTAACTAGACACAGAGTTGTCAGAGTTTCATGTTAAATTAATATGAACAAACTGGAATAAGAACTGATCTGTGTTACATTCATTTATGTATTAACATGTCAATATAAAATAATTGGTAAACCAAAAGTAACTTGTTTGAAACCCTCAGTTATGAAGTACTTATGTATATGCATGTGTGTGTTTGTTTTTTCAAAAATCTCACAAGGAGAAAATAAAAACTATACAGTAGTTATTGCTTAATATACCTCAATTTACTTTCAGAGCTTTGAGAAGATGTGTTTGTCATTTGTTAAATGAAGACTAATTTTATATAAAGTGACATCAGTCATGTGAATTGCTGTTACTTTCCACTAAAAGAAAACACTACCAATAAAATATGATGCAATGCTTTTTTTTTACTTGAAGTTTTTATATTTATTGGAAATATCTTTTAGATAAACTTTAAATTAGAGACCTTTTCATTTAGCCCTCTAACATATATATATAAATTCACAAGTGAAATACTGAGATATCATCAAGATGTTTCTATAGTTTCATATTCAGTGTTAGGCTCTTCTGATGCACTGTCAGTTCAGAGTTTTTGACACCCACATTCCCAGCCAATACCATCTTCTGTGCTTTCAAAAGTAATGGTAAGTTTGCCTTTCCAAAGACGGCCTTGCTGTAGCACTGTCCAAAATTTCTAAGCTGTAGATGTTCTACCTGTTCAGATTTTTATGCTGATGCTTTACTGTTTGACCAGTCTCCATTTCATTTTTGCCTCAGTTTGATGTCATAGCACTAGATGAGAGGTGGCATCTATTAAAAGTCAGTAGGAGGATCCAACAAATTGATGTCATGGTAACATGTCAATATGAAAATAATTGATAAATCAGAAGTGGCATTTCTGCAACCCTCTGTGTGTGTGTGTGTGTGTGTGTGTGTATGATTTTTCAAAATTATTTCTAGGAAGAAAAATATATGGCAGCTAGTATTTAAAATTTACTAAAGAGCTTTCAGAGGATGTTTGTCAGAGGATTTGTTACTCATCAAATGTTCAGTACTGTATTTCACTTCAATTTTTGTCTTACCATGCACAATGTATGGATTGTAGTAACTTTAAAATGTGACATGAGGAGCCGGCGCTGTGGCGCAGCAGGTTAAAGCCCTGGCTTGCAATGCCAGCATCCCATTCGGGCGCCAGTTCAAATCCCGGCTGCTCCACTTCGGATCCAGCTCTCTGCTATGGCCTGGGAAAGCAGTAGAAGATGGCCCAGGACCTTGGGACCCTGCACCCACGTGGGAGACCTGGAAGAAGCTCCTGGCTCCTGGCTTCCGATAGGCGCAGCTCCGGCTGTTGTGGCCATCTAGGGAGTGAACCAGTGGATGGAAGATCTCTCTCTGTCTCTACCTCTCTCTGTAACTCTTTCAAATAAATTAAATAAACATTTTTTAAAAAATGTGACCTGATTTGCCAGTGTCTCTTGCATTTGAATGTATTGCTTCATATGTAGAAATATACATGTACCCGGCTGGCGCCATGCTCACTTGGTTAATCCTCCGTCTGCCATATGGGCACCGGGTTCTAGTCCGGTTGCTCCTCTTCCGGTCCAGCTCTCTGCTGTGGCCCAGGGGGGCAGTGGAGGATGGCCCAGGTGCTTGGGCCCCTGTGCCCGCATGGGAGACCAGGAAGAGGCACCTGGCTCTTGGCTTCGGATTGGCACAGTGCCAGCCGTGGCGGCCATTTGGGGGATGAACAAGCGGAAGGAAGACCTTTCTCTCTCTCTCTCTCTCTCTCTCTCTCTCTCTGTAACTCTACCTGTCAAATAAAAAAAAAAAAAAAAAGAAATATACATATACCTTCAACAGTGTGATTCAGTTGAAGTTATAATCATATGCACAGCTGTAACCAAGTCACACATGAGGAAATAGTAACTATATGTCTATTGCTAACTGGCTAATAGCTGCTTAAAAACACTATGAATTGTAAGACATTTTATTTTCAGAGATGCTGAAATGTGGAAGAAGGTGAATTAGGAAATAACTAACTTAAGTGTATGTTTTATTAAAAGGGTCTAAGAGAGAGAGAAGAAAATCGCTCTAAGTGGAATGTGCAGGTTGATATGTCCAAGGAGGGCATTTGTATAAAAAATGAGTACATTTTATAATCAGAATTTTTCTGGTTTTTCATTTACCCTTATTATAAAAAAGATTCAGTTAATTTTCTTTTCTGAATTTTATCAGCCAAAAATTGGGAGGCCTGCATGTATAAATATAAAATTAAACATATCTCCATTTATCATTTTTATCATTTTTAATTTATAAAATCCTAGCAGTTCACATATTTTAGGTTTATGAAACTGCAACAAGGTTTGTTTGTAGTTAACAAGCTTTTTGATGAGCCGATTGTTAGTAGTGATCAAGAAGTTCATGGGAAAAAATCCATTCTTTGATAACTTTTTTTTTCTTTAACCCAAGCAAGACATAAATAGAAAACAGTGTATAGTGAGTTAAAATAAAGCTTCAGAAATCCAAGTGATTCCCTAAAAATGGCAGAAGTTTGATAATGTGAATCCAGTATTAACTTCCACAACCTTTAGTGATCTATTTATCTTCTGTAGCTAAGCTACAGAATATAATAAATGTTATATAATAATTACCAGATTCAGCAGTAGAGCCAAAATTAAAACTTGGCCTGCTACAAAATATAGGCATGGGTATCACAGTTCTTATATGTACTACACAATATCAGAGACATCATTCATATATACCATGAGGCCCTCTGCATGTGAGCAATGGTAGGCCCAGAATGGAAAGGAAAAGTGGAAAATACTACTATATGCTCAAAAGTGAAAGATTTCAAATGTTCTTTTTTGCTCAGCTAACTAAAACCTAGTCTTCATCTGTATCAAGAATTAACTAACTTTTTTGTAATACCACATGTTTTATTTGTGGTAGTTAATATATAGAAACTACAGAAACATCTTGATGATATCTCAGTATTTCACTTGTGAACTTATATATACATATGTTAGAGGGTTAAATGACATTTATGTTTAACATGTCCATAGCAAAGGCATTATTGTCAATACAAGTAAATGAAACAGTGTTAATGTTTCCTTCTGGGCTGGCTAAACAAATAGGCTATATTTTTATAGTCTCTGAGTGAGGGAATCTCTTAATCACCCATCATATAAATTTCAGCCACTGGGGATGGTGTTGTGTCTCAGCAAAAAAACAAAAGCCACCCCTTGGAAAATTTGCATCCTCAATCAGATGATAGTTGTAGTCCTAGTGCCTTTGCCTAGGAAGGCAACAAATGATGGCCCAAGGACTTTGGTCCCTGCCATCCATGTGAAAGACCCAGAGGGAGTTCCTGGCTCCTGGCTACAGCCTTGTCCATCCCTGACTGTTGTGGCATTTTGGGAGATAACCAGTGAATGGAAAAGATTCTCCCCCACCCCCATTTTTAAATAAATGCAATTTTTAAAAGTACTCTTATAGAATCTCAGCCATTCAGGCAGAGCATTTCATTTCTGATTGCTGCAGACTGGTGCAATATATCTGCTGGTGTCATTTCCCAGCTATTTGCCATTAGTTTCTCCAATTGTGCTTTATTGCATTGCTAAAACAATCTAAACTCCAACGCATATATTCTTTGGGCACTGTTCAATATGCGTTATTGATATGCTTGTTGGATCATCAACTTCTTTAAAGATTTTTCGAACCTTTGTTGCAACCAAAACTTTGAATCTATGTAACCTGAGTAAGTGAATAATTTTTAAAAATTTCTTCCCCAGTATCCACTCTTCCTACCTTAAGAACATACACATGGTTCAAGATAGTTATAATTTACCTCTTCCTAGAAGGAGAACGTTGCAGTACCCAGAAAGAATTAAATAATTTACATCTTGAGGCAAAAACCTTTTAGAACACAACTCTGTTGAAATCAAGTAAGTGTTCATTTCATTTGAGGTTGAAAAACGTTGTGCTGCTCAATGAGGTTATACATGATTGATTTCTTTCCTATTATTTTTAGCCTTGGGGTTTGCAAAAGTAAATTATATTCACCAACACCAATATACTATTCTTCAGAGAAGTTTCAAACAGTTTTAGTAAACCTAGAACTAGAAATCTTTGACTACACAAAGAAATAACTGTGATCATAACAAGTAGTACAAGAACAAATTTTAAATGTAAAGCACAATTACAAGGGTATAACTTGGCTTATAAAACTACTAATCATGTCAGTGGAATAAATTTTTAATGAAATTTAATAAGAACATCATTCATTATACATGATTAAAGATGATAGCACTTCTAATTAACAATTGTCTAGTAAATAAAAAGTTTCTGCAAACTAGCCTATGAGGAAAAAGGGAGAAAGTATACAGTTTTAGAGAAATTCTTTTTTTTTTACTTTTTTACAAATGTATAAAATAAATGTTTCTCATGAATTCAGTAAAAGATAATTTGTGAAATTATCCTTTTTTCTTATCTCTAAAATCTGTCTACATATCACTAGGCTATAAGCAAGCTGTAATTATCCAAAGCATAAAAGTAAATAAGCAGAAATAAAATTTTAACAGTATTATTTCATCAGGATATTCCTATTATATGTTTCATTTATAATACTTTTGAAATTCTATCAATCATCTTAGTATATCCAACACTGAATGGTTAATTTGGATATGCCCTTGCTTGCCTCAAATTCCTCCCTCACTGGAAAAATTAAATAGGTTACTCCATGTAGAGCTCTCTTGTATTTCTCTTACAATCCTGATGATATCTAGCATCTAGATAACTGACCCAATCGTGCAAAAATTGTTCAAGGCAAAGGCTGGAAGTATTCCATGACTCCTCACATATTTTGTCCTTTCCAGTTCTTCAGGCAGTATAGTTTGTACATTGAATGCACAAACGAAATCCATTCGGTTTTCTCAACTCTTCTGAGCTAATACAGTTACCTATGCTAACACAGTAGCCTTTTTCAATGACATAGCCTCTTTTTTATACATGGTAAAAATAAACTTTTTGGAATTTTATCTTTGTACATGAAGGCAAAGTTGTAGAGACTGCAAAACAAAGATATTTTAAAAGATTAGCATGGGGTTGCTAACATTGGGTGGAAAAAAATATTGTGACTACCCAGGCTTGCTTCACTGATTTCTTTTTCTATGCCATTTTTTCCATTGAAGAATGACTTTAGAGATGATCCATACTAACTTTCAACATTCTACACCCTTTTTATGAAGATGTGCCTATTGATAGTCAACAATACTTCACCACACTTAATGTTTGTTTACATTTTTCATATTTACTGTATCATATGTCAACTAAAATTTTGCTTCCCTTTTAAATGTAAGCAACATTATTTCAATCTTTATCCTAAGTCCCATAGATGTACAAACATTCTCCATTCTCCATTGTCTGAAATTTCTGATAATCACCATCTTAAAAACCACCTTTTGTTTAGGGTTCTCTGTGATTTTTCTCATAATTCTAAGAGTTAGGTGTACAGTTTTCACTATGTTAATCTCAGACTTTTCCTCTTAGACCTCCTGCTCCAGAAGAAAGGTCTCTCTCACACAAATTGTGTGAGTAGCAAGTTCCTCAGAATAATTGGGACTATTAAGGAAGGTGACAGGAGAAAAGAGAAGGACCTATACCACAATAACGGAATAATAAGAATGCATTGAATAATAATGTTCGTAGAGTTCCTTTGGTATTATGATCATCAAGAATTTCTTCTTTAGCCATTTTATTGCAATACAAAATGTTCTCAGTAACCACTCTTTTTCTCTTCCCCTGGCCAACTTCTCCCCACATCACATGTATGTACAAGATGCCTAAATTATGCCCAGGAACTTAAATCATTCTCATTCTATTAAGTTGCCAAGTTCTGCTCTTTTAAGACATTATTATAAACACTAAGCTGATCACAATATCCAGAAACATGAGAATACTCAACAGAACCAAAGAACATTTTATTGCCAAGATCTGCTCTCATGAAAAAGTTTTAATCCCATGCTATATGACAGCTCCTTTAATTTTTAAGGTTGGCTATAAGGGAGACTGTTGTAACCAAAAAGTAGCCTTGTTATTAGTGTTTGATTGGCCACATAGTCTTGCTGCAAACCTATTCTATACAATGACATCTGTTGCTTATTTCTAGATTGTAATTCCTGGAATGATGGGAAGGCTATTAACTGATTTTAATGGTTCTATGAATAAGTGAAATATGAAGCTATTTTTGGCTACAAAATCTATGAAAACACTCTTATCAACTGATTTTGATGCATCTATTGCCTACCCCTGTGAGAATATGCCATCAGGCTCTGTAGTCTTGTCTTTTCTCCGTCTTTGCTATGGTATACCTGTGACACCAAGGAGGCTACAATTTCTTTTTTTTTTTTTTTTTTTTTTGCTTTCAAACTTTTATTTAATGAATATAAATTTCCAAAG